ATTCCTTTGTGTAAAGCAATCAATGAAGACATTTTTAGGTGAAAGAGCATTAGAAATGTCATTTACTTCATTCCCTAATCTCAAATACCCAATTATGTAACAGCACGAAGAACTTCGACCATTTAATTTTCATTGCTGCATTAAGGAGGATGTTAAGATAAATATAAATCCTACTTAATTTATATTGAAATTATACATTTTAAAATATAAAAAAAAAGTTAAACTTAGCAATCCGAATGGCTCGGTTTTATTCAATTATTTATATTACTCCGTCACGATTCTTCGTTTTGTATAAAGTAAATGGGTCCAAAAAAATACGCCCATTGGAATTACATAATTAACTTTTATTCTTGACTTCGAGAAACTTCAAGAAACCAAAGTTTCTTGATAGTTTTTCTTGTAAAATTATAATTTTTCAGGTAGCGAGGACGTGGCCCAGTGCCCTTGAGAAACCATTTATTATCTCCCACTTTCTTCGCAATGTTTACTTAACACCTTTTGCAAATATTTTCTAAGCTCTTCTATGAGTAAATATGTGCGTATTCTCGCTCACTGGTGAGGTATTCTTAAATATTTTACGTAATAACCATTCAAAAATCGAAATTTAAATCATTGTGTAAGGTAAATCCATTCTGATTATATTTGAAAAAGGGGTCTTACGTGGTACAGAAGTGCGTGCTCTATTAGAAAATGCCTGAAAATTACTTGAAAAACTTGGAATTTTAGATAAAATTACGTGTTTAAGAAGTTCTTACGACGTTTATCTCATAAATTAGATAATAATTACTTTATATTTTACAAATTATATATTAGAACACACAAGAGTTATTCGCCTCCAGTAAACTAGGCTATAACTTAAGTTTACAATAAGACAATTAAAGAAAATAGAAATATATTGTTGAAAAAATTTAAAAAAGAAACTAAGGTTTTAAATAATAAAATTTAAAATTTTTAAAGTAAATTTCCACAAATTAACGGGCGTAGAGAAGAAAATCGAATACATTTACGTAGATTCTCATCAATATTGGTGAAACGATACTGATATTTACATTCTCTTCGATATTGGTATTTACATTTACAAGGTCTACTACATTTTATCACGAAATGAATATTAATCACCGACGTTTTCCCTAAAAATCTGTTGAAAGTAGGTCAGTTCTGTTAACTAATTTTAAGTTTACACACAATTATATAATGGAAAGAATGAGAATTAACGTTCGATTTTTCTTAGATATTCGAGAAGAATTCGAAATGTTTACGCGTTACGGGATCCTACACGATGACGTAACAAAACAGTAACACAAAATTAACAGTTAAATGTTACAAAGTAATCTACGTAACCGTAAAATGAGTTTTACGTATGCGGGGTGGTCCAAAAGTAAGTTAACTATTGTAAAAACTAAATTAATATCCCATTTTATAAAAGAAACTTAGCCTGTACTGTACTTTTAACAGACCGGGTTAATCGAATTCTGGGCCACCCCGTACATTCTTTAACTTAAGTTTCTATCAGATTGACGAATTTATTAACGAATAAACAGATAAAAATCTAAATATTTCTTATATCGGTCATTGCCTATTTAGTTTGCAAATGACGTATTAACCAGGAGGAAATTCTGGTGATAGACAGCGACAAGATGTCACTTCCTAAACCCAAAAAAGAGCTCTAATTCTCCAGGATATAATTACGTACGCCTTAACATTTCCGCAAATAATTATAAGAAAAAATTTATTAGGCCGTAGATTAAAGACGAGTTCATAAAATAAAAGAGAAAGTTTTACCTGCGCTCCTGTTATTTCGGATCGATAACCCGAGTTAAGAGTACTGTAGAACATACACAAAAGTTCGATCTATTTCTAGATAAATTGCGTGGCGATCACGTGTCATTTATAATGATCGCCACATTTTTGTCTATTATATCAACTAGATGGACGTATTTTACCCGTCTAACAATTACTTCGTGTCTTACAACTCGATAGTTTAATGCCTTCCTCTAACGAAAACCAACAAAGAAACTGCCAACTATTCCTTTGAAAATGCGTAATTTCTCACGTTTTCTTCAATTAAATAACGAATTTAATTAATTAATTAATTACGAATTTTGCTCATTAATCGTGCATTTCTATTATTAAAATCGTTGGCGAATAAATTGATTTAAAAAACGCGTTATTCCTTATTTTCCGCTATGTGTTTTTTTACAAGCTTATAAAGTAAATTGTTCTTAAAATATAGCATTTTTTGATATATAATATCGTTCGTACGTCTGTCGATCCGTCATTTTTATAATTCTTAAAACATGCGATAAGTCTACTTTTAAGAATATTTAATGTGAATAATTCAAATTGGATATAAATTGAGCTCGACTCAATCATCGCTCGATCGATATTCGTAGACATTACGCTAAATATTCTACAATTTTATGAATAAAATCGATCTTTTTTTACTTTAAAAATATACAAATATACTTTATTCTTATAATTTAAACTGTTTTAGATAGAAAAATTAATCGAGAAGAGGTTAAATCTTTATGATTTTTGCATACCCGATCGAATTTTTTTTCGCTCGATCTTTTCCGAAAATAAAATATTAATTAGAAAACTAAATTTAGTCGAAAAATCTTACCGATTTAACCGCATTTTAAATGTTATAATTTATTTTAAATGCCACCTAATAATAAAATTAATAAACATTTTACTCGCTAATAACATTACAAGATGGTAAATTTAATGTTTTAAATAACCACTAAATTATATTAAATTTACTTATTAAAGTAAAATTAAAATGTAACTAAAGTTGGACGGATCGAAATTCTAGAAAAAAAAAAAAAAAATACACGTGTTTAAAATTCTGTAAATGAAGTAAATCAGTTAATTGACGTCCTTCAACTCGACCATGTTACCATTCCTGTTAATGGCGATCAATTAATATTTCTAGCCATTTTTTTTACTGTAAAAAATTTATTAACCACTTAAACCAAATTATCTTTTTTTTTTCTTTATTAACTAAATCTTCTATAAATATATATATATATAATGTTTTTAATTTATGAATTTTATAGATATTCTTTTAAATTATTCATGGCATAATCCCGTTAGTAAGAGTTGAAGGTAGATTTATGGATCGGCTCTTGGAAAAATTACGTAACGAGTTAAAGGTGAGAATGCATTTATATCATATGACCTATATAAAATGAAGTTTTTCACTGGTTATTTTTGGTTTAATGAGAACTAAAACAAAGAATAAATATAAATAAATAAATAAGATTAATAGCGGCGCGTAGAAATCGATACCATCGATTCCTCTTCTATTATTATTTTATCAGTTATGAATATATCGGTATACTAATCGGTATACTACACTCTAAAATAATAAAATTTCTTTTAAAATGATCTAAATTTACTATTTAAATCTGCCACAAATACTATTTTTCCAAATTACAAACCAAAAATCTCTATTGGTACTTGTAAGTTCTGGCTTGCAATTTGATACCAGTGAGGCGGTATTAAAGCAAAGCTTCTCGGTAGAATATTCAGTCGTTGTAGATATATTTGTAAAGAAATTCTATTTAAAATTCTAGTAAAAATGGATTTGTACATTCCGAAAGTAGATCTGATAGAATAGATACGAAAAAATTATTCGGGAGCGTGATAAGACCGTTCGGAAAATTCTCGTCACGAACTCGACTATCGCTCGTGTTTTTCGTATCAGTAAAGTCTTAAGCTAGATTAATTCTATCAGAAAAAATCGTGATTTAAAATTGATTCTTCTGGTTAAAAGAATTCTTCGAATTAGCGGAATCAGAGAATTCATTTTCCATCTTTCTTTCGCATGCAAGATTTTCCATATAAATTTCTTGCAAATATTAAAATGTCTTTTTCTTAAATTATATTTTATTTTTAAAAACAAATTTGGTTTTTTTATAACATAATATTTTAAGTTTTATTCAAGTTATATTTTCTAAAATTCGTAAGAATAAACTAAGAATCGCTTATGCAGAATGCATCAAGAAAAAGAACTTCTCCATGATCAAATAAATATTTATAACTTATTGATTGATTGATTAATTAATACAGCATATCGACATATTGTAGGATGTACTTATGTCCAGCCTACATTACAATTAAAGGGCGGCTCTGATTAGCAATCCAATCAACTAAAGGAATGAAAAACGATGATAAGTTATATATTTGTAATTAAGAAAGTAAAATAATTCTATATTGAAAATTTATCAAGCATATAAATTTCTCTTCGTTTGTGAAACACGTTTCGTTGTGTTTTTTTTTATGTTTTATGTTTTATTAATTGTTGGTAACTATGGATAACCTGGTCCATCAACAATTAACAAATTCAATTTTCTAAGTAGACATTTCGCTTTTATCCTCGTTCGTTTGAAAATAAAATTGTGTCTTTTCTTCACCGATGACTTTTGACTTTTCTTAAATCTTCCTCTTTAAAGCGTTCTACATTTAATTATTTATTGCAACATTCCCAAACAAGATTTGATGAGTATACCGAAATAACTAGTTTTTTCATTCGTCAAATTATAATATTTTGCTTATTACAGATTATTTTGTTACTTACTCTACAAATTAAGCTTTGTTGAGCGAATACGAGTCCTTAATGGCGTCATTTTCTCATTCTTTCTAAGATAATTACATAACATAAGTGATCAATGCGGTGGGCCGCCGACTAGAAATACAAATGCCAAAGTATATCGATAGATAATTTAGTTTAAAAAAATCTAGCATTGACAATTCTTTCAAATATTTTCTTCTTTTTTAACTACAAAGCCAGATATATCGTATCAAGTCCGACATGGCTTACTCTTTTTTTAAAAAAAATCCTTATATTTTAGAACCGTGTATAATTTTTTTAATCTTTCTACCATAATAACGTTTTAATATATAATATTTAAAAGTATTATTAAAAATTAATTTATAACGATGTAAGTAACAAAAAAAATTCATATTAGGTTCGATTTCGTAACGATAATAAACAACCGCCAGGGAGCGCTGATAATGGAGATTAAAGACATTGCTATTGATGGGAGGAAGGAGGAGGAGGTTCGGAAACGCAGGATTTTTGAAATGTTGGGCAGCTTAATTCTAGTTTTCGAACGAGAATCGTCCGGCGGGAGAGTGGATTAAATTACATCTTTACTTATCTACGTACGAAGTGAAGAAAGATGGATGTACCGATCGAACTCGAACAAACTTTGTTTCGGTTTAGCTTACAAAAATTATGCATTTATACAGTATCTTTACCGTTAATCGCGATGATTTTCTGTTTTGCTACATCCATGCTCTTTCACTTTACTCTAGTCAATACTACAATATGTAAGGTAAGTTCTTTTCTTACATATAAAACACATTTCACTTCAAACAACACCATATAAAAGTCACATGTCACATTATACACATCTCTGCATTATATTCTACTCACACTTTATATTACTTGTTTACATTACATTCTTGTCTCTAAATTTAAAGTGTTTAATGATGCTTCCACACAAATATATATTTAACTGAAAACATGATCATTTATAGAAGACGAGCGTAAGTCGTATTACAGTATTATACAATTATTTCTGTATAAATATACTATTATACGGAAATTCGTGATTTCTGTGTTTAAATCTCGCCTTTCTGTAACAAAAGAATGTAATTATGATACGACGATACTCAAATGTTTGTTATCTTCTGGTAGATGTGAGAATTTTATATTATGTGCGTATGCTTCGTATTATAAGACTTTTTTGAAAATTTTCTGTCGTTATGATTTGTGTAGCATATTTTGTGTGTTGCGTATTTTGTAGTGTGTCGTACGTGTACAGTACGCTTGCCGGTAACGAAATCCGGTACTTACGATGGAAAGAATGGTACCTGATGAAAAAGGATAAAACTAAACAAATTATCGCGTATGTACTATGAAATACAATACAATAATTACCTTACTTAAAAAATGGTTACTGTACTATAATATTTTGAGATAAACAAATCTCTGTAAGATATAAGATAGTATTTATCGTACGTACTTTATAAAATTAATGTGGTATAATAATTCACATTTTGATACGCTTATCTTGCTATGGAATTTTTATTTGTATGCTTTACAATATAGTTAGTATGTCGAATATAAATTATTGGCACTGTCTTCGTTAATAATTAATTTTTTTTTAAACAAATTTGATATTTATTGAAGTTAATTCTGATTTAATTATTAAACTTATAATTTAAGTATTGATGTGTGTGCTAATTTGCTAGTAAAATTCTTAGCTTTGATGGTATTCAAATTTCTGATACAATTAAATAGCCATAATTTATCTTTACTAAGATATATTTGATTGCACTTTGATCTAATTTAATTAATAATACATTCGATCGTTATTTATGTATGGGTTTGTTTCTTTTTTTTTTTTTTTCACTATTTAATAAAATTATTTTATGAATTAAATAGAGTAGTTTTGATTTGGACGTAGAAGCGTTGCTGTGCGATATTTTGTTTTTCACGCAGATATTAATGATGGTAACAATTGAATTTTTCAAATAAATAATTAAATCATTTTCTAAATATCTTTAAATAATTATTTTATTTCTATGAAATATAATAATTTGGAAAATGTTTGACATTTATAGTTATTACCCATTAAAATTTTTATTAAAGTCATTAAATAATAATATTTATTGTTAAAATTATAATTTAATAGCAATTTCCATTTTAATTCGATAAGAAGTTTTAAAAATCTGATAGATTGATAAATAATTATTACTAATTATTTTTAAATAAAAGTTTTATTCTATTTTTACTTTATTTTTTGGTCTGTTAGTTACTTTATTTTAATGGCTTCATTTTTTAATGCAGAGAATATTAGTTATCTCATTCTTAACACCCTTTGTACTGAATAAATAAATAAATAAATAAATATTTGAAAAGTTAATAATCTAAATTTGATAAATTCCTTTCATATCTCATCTTGATATAAATTTATTGTAAAAAATGTGTACATATAATTTAAAAATTAAACTATTTAATTAAAATTTTTATAAAAATTTTATCATAAGTTTGAAATTTTTATGCATAATTGCATTAATTTAGAAAAATATTTCTAAAATATAGATGTTAATTAAACAACAAAAATAAATATTAAAATAATTTTAAAAAATAACATATTTTTATTTTTTAAAAGAAGTAAGATTTTTAGTATCATATGAACTTAATTTCTTATACATTTTTTTTTTTTTTTTTTAAATAAAGAATTAATATATTTTTGTAAATGTAGAATGAATCGTTATTGAACAACCTAAATACCAGATTTTTCCTACTGTGAAGACCATAACTTAGGGTGTGGCCGCATATCGCTAAAAGATAGCATATGACCGTATGTATCCATTTAAAATATTTATAACGAAACACTTGAAGTGGACCATTTCATTTTCTTTTACAGTTCTGTACTGTACATCTCGCGACTACATTAAAATTTTAAATCTAGTTTCAAGAAGACATTTTTAGCTGCAAGTGGATAAAATGTATTTAATCAAAAAAATTAATATTTCTATAAGAAGAGGCTATTTTTCATTCAAATTATTATTTTGAACACATACTTAAAAGTCAAGTCATTGATAATTTTTCTATCCAGTCTAAAACAGATTTTAATAAAACAATTTAGTTAAATTTGAATTATGTAGCATGATATTGTTATGTATTTACTTGCTGAGAATAAAAATATTTAATTAGTAATTAAATTTGATAGCTATATTTATTAATTTTATTAATTTTTAATCAACTAGCAAATGAACTTCTGTATTAGACATACAAACGATGAGAATGGACAGTGAGTTGTAAACTATTTCATTCAGTTTAATATGGCATTTCGCATGTCACGATATTCTTCCCTTTTTGTAAAAAAACAAATACAATTTTTCATTTTATTCTGTTTATAAAAGTCAATGCACTCTTTTTCTTTTTAAATCAATACATTTTACTACTATATGATTTTAACAGTATACGATTAAGGGAATTTAAGTGTAATTTTAAAAATAATTTAAAAACGTTAGTCTGTAAAATTTGTCTTTTTACAATAACTTAGCATTTCATCAGTAGAGTGAATCAGTCTAGAACGTGATTCTATAAAAAAAACTGACTATGCTGAGTCGTTTAAAGAAATTTTAAATAGATTTTCATATAAATAGCATGTTTTGAATCAATAATTTTATAACACAATAATTATATATACTGATTTGTAAAATTATATTAAGAACTGAGCTGTTATTTCTAATAAACTATCAGAAAAACATGACATCAAACTTGTATGTAAATAGATTTATTTTTATATATTTTACAGCATTTGTAATTGTTGTACAAGATGATAATGCACTTAATAGCATAGCTGTGTGTAATTATACTGCTGCTCTTGTTGGAGTGAAAATATATAATGCAAAAAATTTATTAATTCTGACTCTTGAGCTCAGTAATGATATTGCTAGATCATGTTAAAAAAATAAACATGCTTTTTAATAATAAATATTATTTTATCTCTACCAGAGAAACTAATGACCTCTGGCAAAGATAAAATCTTATTGTTTGCATATAATTTTGTATATATGAATGTGACAATACTATTTTATTTTTAATGTATACTTTGCATAAATGCAATACTTTATATTTTTTACAGTATAAGTTAATTGATATACATATAATATTCAATAAAGATTGTTTGAAAGATGCAGAATGCAACATTTTCAATATTTTTATAGAGTTGTTGATATATTTTGCACATCAATTCAGCTTGGAGGTTAAGATTGTCTTGGTGGCACCATAATGATGCAGAAAACATCCTTATATAATCATTTGTTTTCTTATTATTTTACAAATACATCAATTTTTTTTTGTAGTAAAATACTATCATGAAAGTTACTTGTGTATATAACCAGAAATGTATGTTTTAAGTTTATTAACTCATTTTAAAAGAAATCTAACTTTTTAAAACAGAATATATAAAGTTAAATTTTATAAATTATGCATACTTTAAATTTTTGTAGAAAGTTCTGCATGCACATATGTGTACGTGCATGCAGAATAAAAACAAAACAAATCTAATTATGTCACATTACAATTTATTATTATTATTCATTAAATATTAATAGCTGAAACAATTTAAATATTTAACTTTCAATTGTTTACTCAGATGCTTATGCCAAAATGAAATTTATTTAAAACAATAACTATAAACTGAAACTGATTGACAAATTTGTGATAAGCGAATTTATTTATATTATTTACAATTATGTGTAAGGTAATCAGATGCACAGAGTTTGTAAGAGAGTTGCACATAATCAATGCAACACTTATTCACATTACTTTATAAATGAACAAAAATTTCATTTCTGTGGTTTGCTTTGCACAACATTCTTAGTTAGGTTAGTTTCCTTAAGAAAACTGGTCAACATTTAAATACTTGTTCCATCTTATAATATAATCGAAATAGGTTAATAATAATAATAATAATAAGCTTAGAGCCCAAATGGTTAGGAGTTGAAATTTGGTACACAGTTAGGGTACATCATAAGAATGCACACTAAGAAGTGATATTTCAAAATTTCCTCTCCTCCCGTAGGAGAGAGGGAGAGGGTTAAGGATTACCCTGAAGAACTCAGCTTCTGCTGTACTATTTTAGATGCAGTTTTTGCATTTTTTTCAGGAAATCAAACATATTTTTAGACCCTTCTAAAAATTCTCAAATTAGCCTTGGAAGAGGGGGGAGGTCGTATTATAGACCACATTGAGCATAAAACTTTGATAACTCGCAACGTTAGCACTATTGCACCATGTGAAAACGGGTAAGATTGGCTTTGTAAGATAATCTTTGTAGTTATATAAACCAAATTCTATAATATAATACAATAGAAGTGTTAGAAGTACAAAATTAGTTAATTGTAATATTTGTTCTTATTTCTTGCACAGGGAATGCTGAGCTTACCTACTAGTTTATATATAAAACATAAAACATTTTTGGATATTTAACTGGAAAATTAAATTTTTTAAAAACTGTTTATAATTAAACAAATTTTAATTCTTAGCTAAGTAGAAAATTAATTTAAATCAATATTAATAAAATTTTGATTTTTCTATCATTTCTAATAATCTAATCAAGAATAATCATTTAATTTTCTAAATAAATTTAAAGTGTTTAAAAATGTAATAGTCTAATTTTGTTTTTTTTTATTTAAATATTTCAAATTTTTAGATTGGTTTAATTTTGGTTATTGAAAATAATTTGCATTTAAATGATTATAAGAAAATAGTTATCTATAAACTTTAATTCTAGCANCAATTTGAGTTATC